AATGGACATCCACCATACTATATTGTTTCATAACAACATTATATTTATAGTACATGCATTCTGAGTTCAAATTAAGTCGAACAAAATTGCATTTCATAGGATGTATGTATTCTGAAAATACACCATTTAGAATTGGGGGTTCCAAATAACTAAACACCCGAAGCAAACTTAAAAGGACATCAAGCACATACTATATGTAGAATTGGCTACTTGTGATTATTAGGAAGAAGTATTTGTACATTACTATACATAAACATGAAGTTGAGTTACTGTTGCATAACTATAAGTCATATAGCCAGCTAGCCAGGTTCATCGCCCTAGCCCACACAAAGACACAAAGCCAAACCCATCCATTGGCAAGGGACCCTTCCACAACCCATTCATCATTTTGCCTGCTTCAAATTTTGTTAAATCTGCTGAAATGAGGCAAGAGAGAAACCCTCCCTCGCCATTCACAGTTTCGCATTACAATACAATTAAAACCTAAAACTAGAAGATTGTCATCACTCACATGAGAAGAGAAGCTACTCATTCGTTGATGTGTTGGCCGCTACCTCGTCATTGACGCTACTTATCAACTATCCTCTCAATCCCGGTGCTGCTCACCATTGTGCTATCTACCTCTCTATCTTCAGTGTTCTGGCGAGTCCAAGATGTTGTGCCTAACGAGCTATCTTCACTTCAGCCACTCATCTCCTCTATTTATTGGTTCTTCTTCAAATAGCGCCTTATCGTCTTAAAGTGAGACCCTACTAACATTGTACATATACATCTAACTCCAACATGTGAGCTCCCACTCAACCACTGCTGCTAAAATAACAACACCTAGATGCCTAATCACTACTGTTGTGAAGGTTGTGACTCTAGTGGTTGAGATCCACCATAACGTATGTCTAATGGGCACATCATCTTTATTTCCACATAACTTTCATAATTTCCTACATCCATGTTTCCTTCATCCAATTGTCCCCCATTGACATTCTACATGAGAGCACAGTAAAGACATATCAAAATTGGTGCTACCCTTCATATATGTAAAAGTAGGGGTTAACATCTTTATTTCCACATAACCTTCATCATTTCCTACATAGGGGTTGGCAACGGGAAACATATATTTGGGTATACACATACCCGTCCCGTTTTTGTAGAGTTACGGGTACCCAAATACCCGTATTTTTTATGGGATGGTATTTGGGATCAAGAACTTCTACAATGGGTATGCACGGGTTACCCATTTGGGTATAACGGGTACCCGTACTACCCGCCTAATAGAGTGATCCATAACTCCAGCTCGACAGTAGCAGTAGCAATGAGCATATCAATATGTCTTATTTGCCTTATTTTCAATCAGAGGATGAAATGACCAAAGCTAGAGGTATGTCTTATTTGCCTTATTCAACCAGTCGAGAGCAGTGATGTGTTTCCAAAGGAAGCAACAACCATACTAAAGTTTTCATCTTCAAGTATGGTAACACAATCAAAATGCCTTGGTTATGAATCTGCAAAATTGTAAAGTGTCCGAATGCCATAGGTTGCAATTTCATGTTGTGGTTCTTTAAATACTAATTGTGGGAACTTTGTTCCTACGTATCTCAAGTGGAGATGGCACTAAATTAGTTTGTTGGAAGTGGAACATTACGGGCTAGATATGGGTTTGAGACATAGTTAGGAATTTACTCTCCAAATGGGACTGGGTACTCGTTTCAAACGGGTCTGGTACCCAATCACATCTCGTTGCCCACCCCTATTCCTGTATCCATGTTTCCTTCATCCAATTGTCCCCCATTGACATTCTACATGAGAGCACAGTAAAGACATATCACAATTGGTGCTACCTTTCATATATGTAAAAGTAGGAGTTAAATAACTCGCATGAATACGAACTTGACCATTCAGACAATACCTTATGTTGTTATCTAGCGATTGACATTTGATGCAGTGTATCAAATGATTCTTTGTACATAGAGTAGCACCCTTAGACCATGATGCACCGTCTCAATCTCACCGTACACTTTTATTCGTTGGATCTTTGGATGACCAAATTGTACCTTGAACTTTTAAGGGTTAACAAGATACTTCAACATCGGGCCATGTTTGATGTCCTTCAAAAACATACTATTATACAGACTTGTACACCTCCACGTTGTAGTATTGACTAACAAACACCTTTGAATCGATCCACTTCCACGACTAACCTTGTTGTACTCTTTAATAAATGAATTCTGCAATAAACATTTCGCATCTGTCCTGACTCTATAGCAGTACCTTCTAGAAATCTTTACGATGTGAGTTTTCTTTATCTCTTGAGCCATGTGCTTGACCTTCCAACTAGGATCAAGCTTGAAATGCTCAAGGTATTTCTCAGCTACCCACTTACAACTTGGATCCTTCATCTGGTCAGACATTGGACAAGAGTGTGGCACCTCAATGTTCTTTGCCATAAAGAATGAACGACCATATATGCTAGCATAGATGTACCACCCACACAGTTGATTACATTCAACACGTTTCTTCATCTTTTCACTCCTAGTCCACCTAATATCAGCACCAATGGTAATACAATTATTTGTAATGGATTTCTTGAATTCTCATTATTATCGAACCTCGTCTCTGCTGTTAATGTGAGCTTCCTCATAATTCGGGTCATATTGAGACCTTTCATCAAGTGAATTCATTGGAACATTGTCATCAAGGTTTCCTAGTATGTGTCGTGAGTAAACCGAGCCCCTTTAGGATGACCACTGAATGCAATCTTGCTCAACCACCTCACCATAGTCATACTCCATATGCTCGTCTTCATGATTATCATAGTCTTTAATCTTGGATTCTTGCTCAACCGACTCTCTGGAGTTGTCCATGCAAGTACGTATTATCCTCCTACGTGCTCGAATACCTTGATTGACCATGTATCAATGAATTCATCGTCCGATGTACGAATATCATCATCCATAAGATGAATGATGTCTCAATTTTGCGAGTTCTTTGCATCGTCATCATCAGCCACGCCAAAAAGTTACTCATATGTTCATCGTCACAAACTTTTGTCTTGTTTTTTCATGAAGATCACAATCTTCCATCGTCAATAGCTGGGAGCAGCCTATCCATAACCTGGTATCATATTTTATTTCATGCACCACGTTCTCTATAGATGATGATGGGGACATATACCACATACATTCTACCATTGCATATTCAAAGTTGACAGTTCCAAGTTGTAGGAGCTGGAAGGACATATAGTCCAAGACCATATCCATCCATGTATCGGGGCACACCCTTCTCTTCACCTGATACAAGGAAATCGAAGTCATGTGATAATTTCATTTTCCCGCCATGATGGATTATCAACTCCAGCAACTCTGCCACCCTGGATGGTTTTTGTAACATAGTTAGTAGAGTGCAACTCAGCAACTCACTCATCCAACATATGTTTTGTCTTCCAACATACCTACTTCTTAACTTGCCAAAAGGGTAAAAATCGTCTTCACAACATCCTTGGGGTCCTTGGTGTTCAACCTTTTGCAGCGAATCTTAGACTATTACGCCACATTTGCAGCTTCTTCATTTAATTTTTCTTTATGGTTCACACTATTGAATTGCTTCTCGACCACCCAATCTTCCTTCAAATACCTCCTTCACTCTATAACACAACACGGTTCGCTTAGCATCAGCCTTGTTGATCTTATCAATGAGCACTTTAGCATCCCCTTCCATCCTAACCTCCGAAAAGCCCAACTCCAGACACCAAACGAGCGCCTCCCTGAGTACAAGCAATTCCACAACCATGGGGTCATCAATCAAAGGAAACTGGACTCCTCTAGCCAAAAGGATCTCCCTTGCTGGGGTCATCAGAACCATCCCACCAGCAGAGTGAGAACCACAACGCGTGGCCCCATCCCACATACAAACTGCCCTAGAGTCCCCCACAGAACTAGCAAGGGATGGCACTGGCACCAAAGAAACCGGCGATGGTGGAGGGCCCGCGGAAAGACCCACCCACTCCTGATACTGCTGGTAGAATTGACGCATCAAGGCTAGGATCCCGAACTGCTTGCCCTCAAAGACAACCCAGTTCCGAGACCGCCAAATCCTCCAAAGAATGGCCACCACCTTCATGAACAACGCCGGGTTGTGCACCAGAGCTAACAATCTCTTCAGAATCACCAACCAAAAGTCGCAAAAAATCGTGACTCAGACGAAGATATGCATCCCAAAAACAGCCCCCGTAGAATGCGACACATCACCTACCTTAACCAGCAAACTACGTCCCGAAATAGAAACAGAAGAAACCCCACGTCGCCATTCTCACAAACCATGTGCTCTCTCCCGCGGGAAAACGCCAATACCTCAACCGTCACTTCCTCTCCACTCTCTCACACCCTCTATATAAACTAACCTCTCTTCTTTCTCACCTTCCACTCTCTACTTCTTCTTACTAATCTCATCTCCAGCTATGGATATCAATATGCTCTTCTCCAAACAAGCTGCGCATGAAACCTTCAGCAGCAGTCCAAGCTCCCTCTGCTTATCTGAAGACGACGGCGAGGGCAGGGATACAACAAGTCGACCGCTGCCGGTTAGCAGTCAGCTCCTCTTGAAGCCATCTTCAAAGGCTCAAGCCGCTCGTAATGATCACAACCATCATGCTGCCTCCAGAGCGCTGGACAGGGACGTCGTCCTGAGACGCATCAGGGACATAGGAGCTTGAACCATGTAAGGAGCGCCCTCCTATCCCTGCGATCAGGGGCTCGACACAGCACAACGTGGGTCGATCCGGATGACGCCTTCTCCTCTCCTTGAAGCTTACAGAGGGATATACAGGATTAGAAAGTGGCAACTGGACTTGATCTTGTTCTGTGGAATGGCTGCTGAAATGGGATAATGCAGCTTAGTGAAGCTAATACTTGGTTTTTGATCATGTGGGGACAAGCCAACAAGGGCTATACTTAGACTGGACATTGGTCAATGTTTAAATGGCATGTAACTTTCATCAATGGTTGTCTCCACTATCTAATTCTAATAAACGATGGGTTTGAAAAATGCAATGCATTTGGAGTTCTCTCGAAACAGGAATGCATTAAATTTCCCTTTCATTACAATTTGAACTCAAAAATTCGCAACAGCAAAGCTTCTCTAACTGATGCACCACCAATAGCAAGTGACAAAAATTTCGTGTTTGTATACCTGAAAATAGCCAACAGGACGCTAACACTTCTTCACTAATTCATGGACTACGCATAGTAGATTGATTGCCTTAGCAAAACAAGCTGTAACCTGGTCGACATGGCTGGGAGCAAAGGGCCTCCGAGATGATACACTAGCTTGGTTGATACAACACTTCCCAGAAACCAGATACTTGAATGAATTGCCCTTCAACTCACTCGAAGCAGGGGGAAATGGCACCGTTGGAGAAGAAGCTGAAGCTGAAGCCGCACTTTGTTCTCACTTCTTACTTAACAAGCCAGATGAAGAGATAAAGCGAAGAGCTTGGTTGGAGTTGTTAAGAACAGCTGATGATCTCGAAAGCCGCATCTTGTTCTTCTTTAGAAACTCTAACGAGTTCTGTAAACATGGAGGTGGGGATATCTCATTCAGAATAACAGTCTGCGGCCTGCAAATAACAACAGTTCAAACCCATTCAAATTACTCTGTATCCTAGAACACAATCTTAAAAAGGAAAAACAAGAATTATCTCTTCAATATGTCTTACCCTGAGCCTCTCGCCTTCTTCTTCCTTGGAGGAAGCTTCGCATTTGCACCAGGGGTTTCATCATCAGATTCTGTGGTAAACACTTTCCTGCAAAAAGAGAATTGATGCCTCCTAATCAGAAATTACAACCCTGTATAAAGGCAAAGACTGGGGAAATGGTGGAGTAGAGAGCAATACTTCTCCCGGGCAGCAAGCTGTTGAACAATGTTACTGGGAAGCATCCCTTTCGCAGTCACATCTTCCTCCTCGGTTTCAACTGCATCTTGGACACCTTGTTCTCCCTTTTTAGATGGTCGAGGCGTTTTCCGCTCTGCCCACTTCCTCCTTAATGCTTTACCCTCACGCGCAACCCTGATAGCAGAAATCAAATACCGAGTTTTGAATTACTGAAGTAGCTAAAGCTAAGAACAGATGCTTGTGACATTTCAGAAGTTCATATTCGAACCTAGCCTCAAATTGAAATGTCTCAGTGGGGAGGAGACAAAAGGTTGAGAACAAACCCATCACTCTTCAGGCTATACTTGATTGCCTTGTGATTCTTTATGATCAAGAAAGAACACCGAACATCATAATTCCAAACCCTAAGTAACCTAGAGTATCTGAAAATTCTAGGAACATAAAGAATCCTGCCAATTCGCTATACAAAGGTGCAACCCATTTCCCATCCTCCAATGCCCATCAATCAGCATCCAGTCATTTAGGCAAACCCACAAAGTAAACATAACAGAACAGGAGCGTATAGGGAGAAAGTTCCGGACTTTAAAATGCACAAAAAAAGCAAGGGAAATCATACCTCGACTTATTTTCCTTCTGAATCTTCCTTATCTCCGCATCTAATTCAATTCCCTGCCCAAAACACAACGGCCCATTCAGACGCCATTTTTAGACGCGGAGATGGTATTTTGCTCCGAACAGCAGTGAAGGAAAGAAAGAAAAAAAAAAGCACAGTGTCTGAAGAAGGGACGAAGGAGGAAAGAAACCTGCTCGGCGGTGAACTCCTCCGGTGCGTCTGATTCCGAATCGGAATCTTCTCTGTTCGACATACTGAAATCTCTTTGAAATTTGTCAGTTCGGTTAGTTTTCTTCGTCGGCGAGGTCTAGGGTTTAAGCAGCAGGAGGACCGAGGGGAAGGTGAAACTGAGAGAAAAGGGTATCAGCTATCAGGTTTACCGGCAAAATGGAGAATCAATTGATTTAAGGCTGCCTCAACACGATTGTTATTTCTACTAGCATTGGGCCCGGCCGTCGGCCGGTGTTGTGTAAAACTCAAAATGGAGAATCAATTGATTTAAGGCTGCCTCAACACGATTGTTATTTCTACTAGCATTGGGCCCGGCCGTCGGCCGGTGTTGTGTAAAACTCTAGAAAATGGAGAAAGGATTAATAGCATAATTTGTAGTTAAGTGCCAGACCGTTGGCTGAATTCTTAATAATTTTTTAACATAATTTATTTATGAATTGCATCCTAATTTTATTTAGTTATCCAAAATGACATAAAAGCTTATATGTGGTGATGATATGTGGTGAGTTGGGTAAAAGACACAAAAAGAATTAAACTTAGAATGCAAGACATATATTATTCCAAATATGTTAATAATACATCATGAATGTAACCATCAAGACCTATATATATTTTCAGACCTGAGGCACTAATAAAATTATCGAGTTGTTTACAATGGAAGATAAAAAAAAATCATATTAGGTATTGAGAGATGATGATGTTTATATTCTGCATACGATGTGTACTTTAAACTCTAACTCTGTTTTCATTGTTTCGTTTAAGTTCTTTACTCCTATATTATTTTACCGATCTTTTTTGGGTCTTTTTCTTGCCTTGGTTTCATTCCCATTGAAACCCCTCCAAGACCCTTCCAATAGTTACATTTTCTTGAATCTATAACTACTTGCATTTCATAAGAAAAGTGCAAGTTGATTTCCAAATTGGAGAACAAAAGATAAATAGCGGTATTTTTTCTTAATTACATGCAACAAACATGCAATGAAAAAGAAACCATCAAACTATCATTAATACAGTTAAGCCAACCAATCTAAATACAAACTATAATGGCTGCATCCTGTAGTTGGTGTCCTACATATTTGAGTATAAGCCAATAACTGTAAGCAACAAATAATGTTCGTCAGCAAAAGCAATTAAACTACAATCAAGCAACTATTTAGCTAAGAATTGCAATTATCATTTCCTTCGACCAATTCTGATAATAGAAAACAACTTCATCAGGCATAAACCAAAGTTAAGCTATTAAAAGAGACCTGCAATTGAATAACAAAAGAGAGTTATGTACTTTTTAACATCAAATAATAAATGAATATCAATTTATAAGATCTCTACTTCGAACACTTATTCTAATTTTAATTTTAACAATTGATAACCGGGTTGCGATAGAAAATAATTAACTCTCATTTGTGAACAATGAACTGTATTTAAACATTTAGCATGTGCAAGTAATTTTCAAAGCCACAACTAAGCAAGCACATTCATAGATGATATTTCGGTAATTATTGTTGTTCTTTAGACATACACTTTCTTCTCAAGGTTTGAAGCTCTATATATAGTCTGTTTTACTCTACTACAACAGTTTCATTGTTGAACAATTATTTCAATTTGAGAAAAGATGAAACCGAGGAAACATTGACATTTATGGATTGAAGCACAATTACAATGGCAAATTAACAATGTTGGGAGGTAAGAAATTAATAAGCTATTCTTATATGAATAAGTTTGATCCTTTGAAAACCACTAAGAGCAACCGCTCATGAACAATTATCTATCTGTTATATTGAAAATCCACATATGCGTAGCCAACAAATCATTCAAAGAATCTTTTAAAGAAATGTTCTCTCTTAAACCAACCTAAAATATGAAGAAGTTTGATCATTGAAAAACCGCCAAGAGCACAACAGCCCATTAGAAGTTATATTTCATATTGAAAATCTACATATATCTTACCATCAAATCATTCAAAGGATGTTCTTTTTTTAAGAAATATCATCTCTTAAACCAACCTATACTACCAAAATTCACCACTCATAGCCACCGCCCACCGGTTATATAATAATCTATAAAAGAACCATTTTTATAATAATAGATAATAGCATAAGTTATAATTAACAATTTTATAAATGTTATCTTCAAATAAAAATAATAAAAAAAATAAAAATAAAATAATAATAATAATAATAATGATATTGACAACCAAAGCATCACATACCAATCTATTTTCTCACTTCCATCTCTCTACACACTCCTTCTTTCTCACTTCCATCTTCCAATAGACCAAAACCAAACCAAATTCATGGAGTTGTGGATGAGACTAATAGCATGGATATGCCTCGTCAATTTTCTTTTTTTTTGTCAATTTTTTTTTTACATTTGGAGACTCATTCATTAAATGAATGAAAAGTGAACAATTATTGGGCCAAGACCCTGAGGAAGGAACAAAACAACTTGAAAAGATCCCAAAAAAAAAACACTTGAAAAGAGCACACGCCTAAACCCACTACAGTGAAGAGCAAAGCCCACAAAACAGATAGGCTTGAGTGAAGCCCTAGCAACCATCGATCCTCCGCACAGGAGAGCAACAGCCGCAAGGAGGATACCCACAAAAACGCCGGCGACGAAACCAATTCCAGGTTATTCAAAAAAGACTAAACCAATTCCACATGAAAAGCAGCAGTCGAAAGGTCAATTTCCTTTTCCTTGTCAAATTTGCAACCGCAATTTGATTGGAAATAAATAGAATAAGGGTTCGGGAGAAGACGGGTATTCGTCAATTCAACATTGTCGACGACCGGCACACCATTGGAATCCATGAGTACCAATGAGACAACAACAGAGCGGGATGGAGCAGAGAGAAAGCCACAGTGGGAGAGAGGGAGAGCGTCGAAGAAGACAAAGCAAACGGCAACAAACACGGCGACGATCGGAGAAGTTCAGGTAGGACGATAATGGGCGATTTGGATTTCGGATTAAGTGTAGAAAAAAATTAGATCGGAGCTGTGGTGAGCAGAGAGGGCGACAGGAGAGATTTCATTTTGGGATTCTGTATGATAATAAGGATGGTGGGAGTCTCGATTTCCGATTCTGGTTGGGAAGAGAGGCGAGAGAAGGTCGCTGTCCAGAAGGAAAAAAAAGCAAGAAAGAGAGAGTTTCTAGATTGACGATAATAACCTCCCGAACTGTGCGGGCACTTTAGGATAGGCTGACGTGGCGGTATGTTTACATTGCCTTATAGTAATTTTTAGATGAAGGCCTGACTTTAAGCCCATAACAAAATCTGAATGATTTAAGAGATTGGACCTGAACCTAACTGGCCCACTTATGTCAGTGAATTGGGCCTCGCGTCAATCATCATCGAGAATGAATCTAGATTCGTCCTCAGATCCTTTGTTGTCAAGTGTGCATCAAGGTACCGGGTGACGTCTCATCGCTTTGATCATTTCGGAATTTATAGAATGATTTAGAGAGGTAGAGATGTTAACTCTTAGGGCCGCAAATGGGCCGAGCTGTTCACGAGCGGTTCGGCGTTCGACTCGAGAAAAGTTCGTTCGAAACTCGGCTCGTTAATAAACGAGTCGAACATGAGCTAAGTTTTGTCCAGCTCGTGAAGTTCGCGAGCTTGCTCGACTCGGTGGCTTGTTGAGCAAAACTTGCGAGCTGGCTCGTTTAGAGCTCATGATATGTCTCAACATATGGCTAGAGAGCCAACTCGATTACCGACTTATGGACGAATCAATCTATATCTTATGATTTTAATTCATTTGGTTGTTAAATTATATATCTCACCATATATAAAGTTTAACACATTGAGTATGTGAGCAAATACATATTATTTTCTACTTTAAGAAGAAATTATGTATCTTCGATACTATGAAATAACATGATTTGGAGTAGTTAAAATTTATTAACTAAATGATATATGATAGCAACAAAATATCATATGAGATTAGCTAACAAAATAAATCATATGTATCATGATATACAAAATGAAGTGCCAAATAAAAGTCAAGATTTTATTAAACAAGCTAGCTCGAGCTCGACTCGGCTCGTTAATAAACGAGCCGAGCTCAAGCTGGGATAAAACTCGACTTGGCTCGTCTCATTTGCAGCCCTAGAGTCTTGACCGAGAAGGGAAGCATTGGGAGCAAGAGGTTGCTTGTTCCGGAGAGGAACCAGGCGGAGCATTTGAGTTCACTGGAGGAAGAAGTGAAAGATAGCTCCCCTGTTTCGGGGCAGGATCCTTGGTTCAGTGAACACAGTTCGCCTTCATCGAACAGCTTATTGATTTAATGCAGTACAGTGATGTTGAGTGCTTGGCTCTATGTACATCCCATCTTCCTGTGAATACAATTGTGGTATAGATTATGTAGTTTCACGGCAGACCCTCAATATATATAGAGATGGATAGATATATATGTCTACTTCGGTTTCTCCTTTCATTTTCACAATATGAACCCCCTGCCCTAGCCAGACCTGATCTCTGGTATACAATACTGCAATTGAAAACCTAAGATGAAGTTCATTTTGTTCTTCTTGTTCTCCTCTCGTAATCGTGATAAAACCGAACGGGCTAATATCCCATTTGGATGGGTCCAACATTTTACAAGAAGTGTCTCTACATAACGACACTGCATCTAGAACAGCAAAACTGGAATCTGTAGGCTTCAAGCCTCGACTATCTGTCTTCCTTAAAGAAAAAACGCAGCAAGGAACCACTGATAAGCCGATTTCAAACGCTGTAAACTGCAATGTATATTCACAATCAAGTTCACATGAGGTAGGCATCATTCAAAGTATATGGCTTCATCGGTATACATGGAAGTTAACGATAGTGTCAACTGTGAATTACCAAACATGTTTTTTTTTTCAAATGGAGATGCAGAAACTGCACTTCCAATCCAGTCAACCATGGCTTCTAGGATCAGTAACCGGGCGAGGTTTCCTCGATTCTGCTTTCGAGAACTGCCCAACCACGCGAGCGTGGGGCACGGTTGCCTCCCCTTTAGCAAGCGCCTCGACATTGTCCATGAGGTACCGCCTCGGCAGCCTCCCAACCACATTGCCTTCTTCGTTCCCATCTCTGTCGAGGAACGCGAAATGTGGGATCCCCTCGACTCCAAACTCATCCAGCTCTTGCTCCCACTTCGTGTTATCCACATTCAGCATCACGAAATTCACTTGCCCTCTACACACAACACGGAAAGCACAAAGCAATTTTGATACTCAAAACGCAAAACCGAAAAAGCTCATGATCTAACTTCTAAGAATCTCAAACCATAAAGAGATTCGCTTTACTTGTACTGCTGCTCGACTTTGTACACATCCGGGGCTAACTCTCTGCAAACCTCGCACCAATCTGCATAGAACTCCACCACCGTCGGCTTCCCATTTGATAGAGCCTGCAAAAGAACACAGCACAAGAACATGTAATTGTTATCCTCATAGATTTACTATCACTATTCACTATCAGCAGAGTCTTGCCATTCAAATGCTCGAAAATTAGCTTCCTGATTGGGGATTGGCAGACGAACGTACCACTTCATAAGGCAATGCAGCGGCGGATAAATCTTTCAGGGAAACCCCAAAATCCAGCCGCCCCGAAACGAAAAGGCCGACGCCGAAGAGCCCTGAACCAACTGCTATCCTTCGATTCAGATTCCTTGTCGGGAATTCGGGGAGACCAGCTGAATCAGAAGACGAACTCGTCGTCTCGCCGGCGGCGCTGTCCGTCCCCAAACTAGCAGGCTCCTTTTCCTGCAGTTGTTAAACAGAATGAATCACAATCTTAACTCAAGATAACGAAGAAGCATACGGAAAACGCAGCGCGCACCTCGACGGTGGAGCTCTCAGCCGGGGAGTTGGGTTTGGTTTGGCACGCTACGACGGGGAAGCGTCTACGGGATTCATCCCGGCAACGGAAAAAGGCTCTGATAGGCGGCGGCGGCGGGGATTCGGCGGTGTGGAAATGTGGCCGGAATGTGTGGATGGAGTTCGAGGCCACATGAGCCATTTTGCAGATAATATTCAGTGCCAAACAAACAAACAAACAAACAAAAGTTCTTTTCCCTTTTGTAGGAAGAGGGTTTATCTTTCCGCGCTTAATCACTAGCGAATTAAGGGCGTGTTTGGCTTTTCGCCACTTAATAAAAATGGATTTTCCACGTGTATGGCTTACAGCTCTCGGCGTAGACGATTTATGAATTTCTCCTTTTTCATTATTGGTCCAAGCCAAACACGAACGAAATCTTAATCTACAGAGAAGAAAAAAATTACAGGGGAAAAATCAATTGAGGGGAAGCAATTTCAGCTCGGCAAGATTTTCAGGCTTCCGGCCCCAAAATCCCGTTGACGACGGAGGTAGCCACGAGAACGGCGATGGCCTCCGCTCCGACGACGGCACCGGCCTGGGCGAGTCCGCCGAAGCTCACCGCTTCCTCGACCCCTCTTTCTGCGCTCTCGATTCCTTTCTCCGCCGTCACGAGCCCTCTCTCCACCGACTCTATGCCTTTCTCGGCCGTCTCGAGCCCCTTCTCCGCCGTCTCGAAGCCTTCCTTCACCAGCAGCTCCGCTTCCTCTTCCGCTTTCTTCAGCTTCCTCTTCAGTCCGAACAGCGGGATGTCCTGCGCTCTGGAAAGCGATTCTTTCATCGACAGCGCCGGAGCCGCAGTCATTAGAAAGAGTAGGTTTCTCCGGGTGCTGAGGGAGACGGGAGAGGATTTCGACGCCGGCGCATTTCGTGGTAGGATTGCTCGGATGACGGAGGATTGCGCCGCCGTGGCAGCCATTGATTTAACTTGAGGTTGAAAATGAACTTCTTGATTCTTCCCATCCAGAAATGGGAGCGAATTTCTTTATACTTGGCGCTCTGTTGGGCAAATTACCATTATATCCCGCAGAAGCTGATCCAACTTCCAAGTAGCTGCTAGGAGCCTGGAGGGCAGATCTGGTATTTGGATCTATAAATCGGCGTCGTTTCACGATTTGGAGCTGCGGGGTTTCCGTTTTTGTATGCAAACCCTCAAACCCTTTCCTTTTTTCCCTCTCGAAATCTTCTTCTTTTTGCATTTCTTTCTCGAAATCAATGGCGGAAGAAGAAGCAACGGCGTCCGAGTCCTCGGTGACGATGGCTGAGCAGGCCGCCGCGGCAGCGGAGACTGCGCCGATTGAATCTCAAACTTCGATCGAGGCCACCATCGAATCGTACGCTCTGGGAGGTGCGGAATCCACTTGCAACAACAACGAGAATGAGGCCAAGAGCGGCGGTGGGAAAGCATCCGCGGTGACTTCCGATGGGGGCGAAGAGATGTCACTGGAGTTCGCGGAAGAGTTGACGGAGAAAGGAACCAAGGCTCTAAAGGAAAATGAATTCGAGGACGCTGTCGAGTGCTTCAGCCGCGCCCTGGAAATCAGGTTAGGGTTTTTGAATTTTCTAAAATTTTACTTCTTCGCTAGAGTGTTAGTCAGTCTCAGTCCTTGGTGTTAGTTCTTCATTGTAGCACTAGGTGAACAGAATTGTTGAAACTTGGAGCTTCACCCTGGGTAAAAATTAGCTAGCCGATGAAATGAGAAGTGCTGATGCATCTCACTTATAAATGCATAGTCCATTGAAAGTAGCTTCTGCTTCTGGAAATTTATAGGGTTAAGCATTTCGGTGAACTTGCTCCTGAATGCATCACTGCATACTACCACTATGGCCGTGCTCTCTTGTATAAAGCTCAAGAGGAGGCTGACCCATTGGGTTCAGTACCGAAGAAGGACAGTGAATCTAAGCAGCCATCTGGTAAAGATGCATCTGTGAAGATTTCATCGAATGGGGAATCTTCTTCAACATCAAGCAAGGTTCAAGAGGATGGCAGGTCCGGTCATCAAAAGGAAGCGACGAACAATGGTTAGTGTGTGTTGCCTTAATAAAATGTTATTAGCATTGAGGTTTATGTTTTTGGGAAGGGAGTGTGAGATGTTGCTGCACTTTCTTGATCCACCAGTTGTGAAAGAACAGGAAGATGACGAGGAGGAAAGTGATGACGATGAATTGGTTGAAGCTGAAGCTGATGAGGAGGATGAGTCTGATCTTGATTTGTCCTGGAAAATGCTGGATCTTGCGAGAGCAATTGCTGATAAGAATTCTGGTGATACCATCGATAAAGTGGATGTTCTATCAGCTCTAGCTGAAGTTGCCTTAGAGAGAGGTTAGCTGGCCTTCTTCTTTTTTTACTTGAAATTAATGAACATTATCGACCCTTCACATTTTTCGATTTTTCTGGCAAATATATTTCCTTCGTTCGTGGAATCTTGTTGACTTTGGCTATGTTACAGAGGACATTGAAACATCTCTCAGTGATTACCAGACTGCCTTATCCCTCTTAGAGCGGCTCGTTGAACCTGACAGTAGGCTTATAGCTGAACTGTATCCTCCTCGAATATATCTATTTCCTATCCATTACTAGAATGCCATTTTGTCCTGGATTGCCCGTATATTTTCATACTTCTAGCAAGTAGGCAATAAACAACGACCTTGACTATTGCCACCAGAAACTTCCGGATCTGTTTATGTCTGGAAACTGGCTCTAGGGCAGAGGAAGCAGTCCCATATTGCGAGAAAGCTATTTCAGTTTGCAAGTCACGTCTACAGCGTCTCGTTGCTGAAACAAAGAGTTCTTCTGAGTCAGCAGCAACATCAGCTGTTTCAGAAATGGATGAGGGTGTCCAGCAGTCATCTACTGGACCTCTGCCTGACATATCTGTATCAGACAAAGAGGCAGAGATTGAAACACTTGCAGGCCTATCTCTGGATCTAGAAAAGAAGGTATGGATGCATCTTTAGTTTTCCATGTGATATTTGTACCATGATGCTGCATTGCTGTTGGTGGAAAATGGATTAGGTTTGAACGGGCTTGTGGGTTTATGGGGATGAGTTTAAATAGGTTTTTGATTGTTGCTAGCAGAAATTTTTTATGTGGTATGGACGGTATTCTGGTCATCTGTGAGGCCTAAAGGCTGTTGGATAAAGTAATAGAAATGATAGCGGTGGATTAGTTTGTTAATTGCCAGAGGGAGTGACCATAAACATGAAAAGTGAAGGGCGCCATATAGTAGTTTTCCTGTAGATGGACTGTATTGGCAGAGTAAAAGTTTCTAGGTACTAAATGCAATGCCCAGTCTGTTTAGGTACTAATTGTAGCAATGGTAATTTTTCACAAACCAATCAACTCTACCCAATTGATACTGGTCAAATGAGTTTGGGTTTGATTTCGAGTGGATGGATTGAGTTGGTTGCACTTGGGCTGAGACATTGGTGTCTCTATGAATCAGGCATTGCTGAATTGACTCTGTGTTTGATGGGTTTGTTGCAGCTCGAAGATCTCCAGCAGCTCGCCGTGAACCCAAAGTCGATTCTTCAAGAGATCCTGGGAATGGCAGCAGCCAGCGCCAGAGGCGACGATCAGAAGACTGGTTCCCCGGGTTTAGTGAGCTCTTCTTCACGGTTTGCAACAAATAGAAGTGCTGGGGAGTCGGAGTCCCCTACTGTCTCGACTGCTCATACAAATGGAGATGGTGGTGGTGTCACTCACCTGGGTGTTGTTGGGAGAGGAGTGAAGCGCATGTTGATAGCCCCGATCAGCCCAGCAAAGAAACTCGCTGTTGAGGCATCGACAGACGGAGCAGAGGGGGATGATGATGCCAAAGCTTCTTGAATGTCCGGTTTGAATCTCGATCGTTGGACCTTTTTTAACTATATTGGGAGCTCACTATAGATAGTCTTATGAGGATGGAAAGAGGACTTAGCTACATCGTTTCTGCATTCTGCTCGTGTTGCGAGCGTGACCTTAGTTTTACTCCCCCTGTGATACGTAGTAGGATTGTGTTGCTCAAACTGATTATCTAGTGTTTTAGGGTCAACTTGCTCCAAACCAAATTATCCACCCTAACTTTCAAATCAATTCGAAACAATGAGTATTGAGATATCTGTTATGTCCGAGTCGAGCCTTGTTCATCGACATAGAAAGTTCCGCTGCAACTTCTCCCACCACATCGAGCTCGACTATGTCGGATGATGCTAACTATGAACCACCTCTTTTCGCCACGTAAATACAAGGCGAAAAATCTTGTTATGACTGGGAATGAAGAAAGCGTGGAAGCAAAGGAAGAAGTGATCCAAAGAATTTTTCCTTTTCCTCTTTGAGATAGATCGATAGATAGGATTTGGAGTAGAAGGAAAGGAGATGTGTTAGAAGGTAGAAAGGCAGCCACTGCCCACTGCATGTGCTGCTCTTGGCCTGACGTATTCGTCGTTCCACTTCCCACCTCCCCTTCGCTTCAACAACCACCTACCTAACCACCAGAAAGATGCCCACCAACCGCCGCCGCCACCGCCACCCACGGCGGACACCGCCTCTGCCTCCGCCGCTCCAGCCACCGTAGGTTCGTTGTGTGTATGTGTGTTTAATTGTATATGCTATAATCGAATTTCGGCCACGAATAAGTTCTAACAGTGGACATTGAATAAGGTTTTCCTGATTAGTTGAAAAATGAAAATTAATGTTTTACTGGGGTTAAAAGAATTATATACAAAGTTGAAATAAGAGGATAGGTATAAGTAGATTTTGAGATAAACCAAAATATGAATTGTGGAGAACAATTGCGGGAGAAGAATCAAGAAGAAGAAAAAAAGAATGGAATTGATCGCTATATTTACAAATCATGATAATATGATGCTCAATCATTAGTAAAATAAGAATTTGTGAGAAAAAACTGAGTCCATAAAATATAAATAAATAGAATCCATAAAAAAACAGGTCGTGATATATGATAAACTTTCACTTCTTTTCCACCTCGGATATTTCCAAAGAGTAGTATTAGATTAAAATGTTATATCATTTGATAGCAGATCAATGAATTATTGTTATTTAGTCGAGCTAGATTTGAACCAGTGTAGACATAACTGTGTGAATTGAATAATAACCATCTCAAGCATATCGAGACATATTAGAGATGATATTAGAAATTACCACTAATTACGAACAAATCCTACCACAATGACAAGAATTATGTGGTTGGTGCACTATGCACCAGTTGCTTTCCCAGTTTTGTACGCCGATGGTTTAAGTATAGATAATAGAAACACTAGTATTTAGATAATGCTTTAGATTCTGACAGCATCTATACTGTCTGTGAGTATACCTACTGCTATTTTGGCCATATGGTGTTAGTACCTGCTACGTTACGTTTAATAAATAAATAAAAACTGGTAAGCCATAATATCTTGTTGATAGATCTCTTAATAATTAAATTTTGATTCCATTTGGTAATTAATTCTTAATGTTGTTTAATTTCGGCCGTTTGTTAAATATGACTCTTTTTTTTTTCCTACTTATATGGAACAGGCTCGGCGGGGGAAAATGTTAAAATAGCTTAGAAGAGGGGGAGGCTGTCGTTTTATGAGGCAGTGGATGTTTCTGAGAGAATGATGATGAAGAAGAACTAGTGTTGATCGTTGGAACTTGGAAGAACAAACAAACGGCAAATCATGTATGTAAGAAGGATGGGAGGAAATTTGTGGTCAATTTCTAACTAACCAAACCCATTAATTTCCTCTCTTTTTGTTCAATGTTTTCTGGTCTTGTACTTTTTGCAATGTGGAAAATTCCCATGGTTTCTTGGAGTTTGGATTGAGCCAATAAAAAAGCATTTGGTAACCTGATTTGTAAAATATGTGGGTAAAATATCTGGGTTACCACTTAAATTTGAGAATTGGGGTACACATACCACTTAAATTTGAATAGGACGCCGAGTACCATTAAAGTTACCAAAATGTGCATCCGTCTAGTTTTTCATCCAACCCAAATTTTTAATTACTTTTTGGTACCCAAAACTATTAAAATCATCCAATACTATATTTCAACAAATTTTATCTAATATAGAAATTAGAATACCTTCTAAACATAGTATTACTGGAATGACTAATCAATATTTTTTTAATAAAATAGATAAATTAGTAAAAATGATAAACGAATATCAAGAAGAATAATAAATATACTAAAAATAATAATCAATATTTAAAATCACTATTAGAAGATCTATTTAAACCCTTAATTCAATTAGAAGCACCAGTAGAAATAGTTAAAATAGAACGAAAAGAGACGGAAAGTACCAATTAGTAAATAAACTATAAAAACAAAAACATTTAGTAATAATATAGAAAAGAAAATATGATTATAGAAAGAGAATTAGTAAATTTAACTAATGTGGAACATCTACAATATAATATTAGAAAATTAAAAGAAGATTTAACATGGAAAATTAGCAACATCAACATGAAATGTAAGTGAACTAAATATAACATTCTCAGATTATTTATATTGAGATAGAAGTCATAGCATATATTTGCTTCAGGGAATTATTCAATTATTAGAACACATAATGATAATTGATTCTAAATTTCTTATTCAAAAATTGATTTGGTATTAGAGTCTTCAAAAGATGATTTCAACTAAACAAAATTCATAGAATATATTTGCTTAATGAAATAATTTAATTATTAGAACACATAATGATAATTTAAAATACTTATAATAATAATTAATTCTAAAAATTTCTATTAAAAATTGGTTTAGTATCAAGTCTTCAAGAGACGATTCCAGCTTAAACAATAAAAAATGATGTTTTTCATAAGTCCAAATGAATTTCTTACAATAAAGAAAAGCACAAGGACCCATTATGAAATTTAGAAAACGGAATATTTCAAGAATATTCTGTCAACTTTAACAGAATGCACTTGACAGTAAACTTAAGTGGTCCCGGGTACACATATAATAGAGTTCAGTGGTACGCGATGCCCTATTCTTAGTTAAGTAGTATAGCTCTCCCAATTCTCATACTTTGGTACCCGCGGTATTTTACCCTAAAATATGTTGAGAACCACCTGATTTTCTAGTTGTTATTCATATATTTATTTTACATTCCTACATATTATTTCAAACGAAAATCAATTCACAACTGGAGAATTGCGCAGACATGAATATGAGCCATATTGGTCAACACACTCTGATTATTGACCCACTTACCTAGGGCTGTTAATCGGTGCGGTTTCGGTTTAACCGAACTGCACCGTCGGTTAGCCGAGACCGAAACTCGCTCGCTTTCCCCAACCGAAGCCGACACCGACGCCGTCCTCGGTTAACCGGCAACCGAAACCGTCGGTCTCGGTTTGAGAGGACGGTTAGCCGAAACCGCCAGAGGAAGCCGGTTTTCGGTTTCGGTCAGAAACCGACCAATGAAACCGATCTCCTGCACACAGCAGACACACCCTGGCCCCTGCTGGCTGCTGCATTTTTTCTGCACACACACCTGCTGCATTTTTAATAAAAACCTGCTGCTGCCCTTATCAAATCAGAACATAAAGTCTAACCCAAACACAATTAAATCACAAGTCAAGTCATCATTCATCACACACCATAAATCTTTTACATGCCAACAATTCAAATAAAGAAGTCACAAGTTCACAAATCACAACAAGCCACAAATAACAAGTTCATTCTCCAAATCATCAACCTAAATTCGGGGATCTCGCTCCAAATCGTCCCCGATGTCATCATTTACTCCAAGATCTTCATTCTCATCATCAGGATTGACATCAGAATCATATTCAGCAACATCATCAAGTCCATCAACTATGGGGGTAGGAGTAGGAGTAGGATCAACTGAATCAAACTCACTCCCACTTTGATTAGCCATTCGAGCTTGTAAAACCTCATAAACTACATGAAAAGTAGATTATAATGAGAAAACTAAGATAGGCAAATTGTCAAATATGAAAACTAAAGCATAATTAGAAGGAAGAAATGATATATTACCACTTTCAAACTCAGTTAGCTCTTCGAGATCCTCTTCATCATGAACCAATTGGGAATCAGGGAATCGTATCCAATCTTCGGCACAGATTAATGCCTCCACCATCTTCGGGGTCAAGGAGGACCTAAATGAGGATAGCACCCGACCTCCTGTGTTGAAAGCAGACTCGGAGGCAACAGAAGAAATCGGAATGGCCAAAATATCCCGCACCATTTCAGAAAGCACGGGATATCTAATGCTGCTGACGGACCATCATTTAAGAATGTCAAAGCTATCATCCTCGTCATCGAAAAGAACAGCATCATTGACATCATTCAGATAGATGTCCAGCTCTGAAGAACTTTGAATACCCGCATCAAGCTCTTCTTTCCTCAACTTCTTGAACTCAAAAGTCATCTTCCCTCCCATCACAACACCACTACTCGAACTCCCACTAAGAGTGGTTGTGGAGGTGGCAACAGCATCCGGCGCACTTGAGGGTGGAGACTGGAGCTTCTTCTTGTAATCTTCAAACAAGTCACTCATCTCTTGTTTGATATCCTTAGCCATTTGCTTCCCATTTTCTTGGCCATACATCTGCTTCAAGACAAATTCAACATAGGCCAACTTGCGCCTTGGATCTAACACACATGCAATGTAGATCACACGGTTCATCCTAATATTCTCCTCATTATCTGCCTCGTACCAATACTTTGCAACCTTCGCCTTAATTCTCACTGCCATTCGTTGTATCTCGGCATCTTCATCTTGCTCCAATGTGCATATGACCTCATAAATATCTGCAAGATACTTGAAGAATAGATGCACAGTCATATATGAAGTTCCTGTAAACACAGAAAAGTTCAAGAGAGTAGATATTAGTATAACATAACTTTAAGTAATAAGAAAAAGTTCAAGAGACTTTAGAAATATGTCATACCAGATACACGCGTAGTCAAATCACAGAAAAACTTCAAATACTTCATCAGTCTTCTCACACTGCTCCAATCTTCTTGTGTTGGCACACCTCTCTTCGTGTCCACATACTTCTTAAAACTCTCATCTTGTCCATATAAGAAAGTAAATACTTTCTCAAATCTTTCTGTAGACTCTAGCATGAGGTAGGTGGAGTTCCACCTTGTGGGA